AAAAGCTCAACAAACTGAACAAATACTCGCAGGAAAATACAGTTATGTCTCTTTCGTCTAAACTTGGTTCTTTGAAAAGGCTGAGCCGTAATGAAAACCTGAAAATATACGCAATGCTATAAATTAAACCAATGCAAATATGTTAAGTGTTTATGTCTTCACAAATGACAGACCACGCTAATAGCAAAACGTTCGTGGTAGCAGATGATTCGCAATATTAAGAATGTCACATTTAATGAGTTGATTTTCAAACACTGAATCAATGACATCGTGATATTAAAATTTTACACTCGTATTATTCGTACATTGGGACATGTCCAAAATTCAAATAATTCATTTTCAACACCGTACCCTCCCCCACCCCCCAGTGGCACAGCGGTATGTCTGCGGACTTACAACGCTAGAATCTTGGTTTCGATACCAGTGGTGGGCAGAGCACAGATAGCCCATTGCGTAGCTTTGTGCTTAACTATAAATAAACAAACAAACAAAATCCAACACCTTATTAGTTTCATCTAGGAGTTAAGCATACAAATATTACAATTACTGCATCCTTTCACACACAAATACGCCCTCTAGTGGATAAGCAGTAAGTCTGAGGGCCCACACAACTAAAAATCGGGTTTCGATACTCGTGGTGGACACGGCAGAGATAACTTGTTTTGTAGTTTTACGCTTAACAACACACACACACATATATATAAAGATTATTTGCAATCAAGTAAGCTTAGATTATTTCATCACAGGAAAGAAAAATAAAAGCGTTTGCAACATTTTATGCAATAAAGTAGGCCATTCTGAAATTAACATGTATCCTTATTTCCTGAAATGTAAAAACGCTCAGCATTACAAAAGCGATACTATAAAACATTTATGGATATTAATTAGTCTCTAAAGCTTACAATCGCACCTTGATTTTGATAACTGCATTGTCAAATACAACAATAAAACATTGTCGAATAAAACCAAATTTAGCATTCATAACACAGGCCTGCGAACTTAAACTTCATAAAAGTTGTTTTGGTTTTAATAACGGTTGTTCCATAATTCAGCTACGCAGAGTTTGAAAATAATATTCATGTTTTTTCTACCATGCAAGGAATTTTTACAAATTACGAAGAAAAAAAACTGTTACTTAGATCAAATTATGACTTCGTTTACCACAATGAACATTTTTGATTACTATGTGTATTTCTGGTGGGTTCTAGAACGATCGATAAGACTCTCACGTCGCGATTGGTCTAGAGAAATCTATAGTCAGTGATTGTCAACATTTTAAACATAACAAAATGTAATCCGATTTCAATGAAAATAATTATATATAAAAGTACATATAACGTTTTGTGAAAAATCTGTACGTGATGGAGAAAAATGGATATCTTTTCGGATTTCGCGTACAGAAAATTGCTGTAGCAAATGTAAAGATATCAAGACAATAAAACCATGGTAGGTCTGTGCAATCTTCAAATATCTTTAGAGTTTTTGTTAAACCAAAGGGCTGATATACGAAATTTGAAAATTATCAAACTCAACATTAAAAATGTACAATATATTATGACTTAAAAGAAGACCCAAAACTCGAGCGATTTCGAATAGTTGACTATTCTTCTTCAGGAGAACAAAGGGGAATGGAGACTTTATTGTTTTCTCTATTGAAGCAGAGAGACCCTTACAGCAGATCAATTGGACAACAATGTGGTCCAAAGCCACACCAGAAGGTATAATTCGGAGCAAGGTGAGGTCTTCGGCAACAAAATCGAAACCTACTCCTAAAGGCCATTGTATTGAAGTTTGTATATTTTCTAGTATCGGTAACAAGATAGCAAAGAAGGATTTGAAACTGCAAAGACTCAAAAGAAAAAATCCACAAGCTTCCACCCACACTTCGTGATAAAGGTGATCGAAGAAACACAAATAATAACAATCACGTTCGGCCTCAAAGTTATCAATTCCCCGATCCAGCTCTAAGGGATTTTTCTTTCTCATTTGGTGTGCTTAACCCTTTTCTTCGAATATAACTCCCATGTAAGGTGAAGGAATTTGAGAAAAACCTGTCGTATGGTTTAACATTGACTTTGCTTTTTATTTTTTCACAGTAGCGTGTTACAATAGAAACTGCGACATCAATTAATGGTGTTTACTCATAATCATTAGATTGACGAGGAAGGAAGTACTTCCAATGGATTTCAGACTTTGGTCTCATAAAGGGTTATTAACACCCAGTAATTACAAGAGCTTAGCGCCTAAAAATTTTGCATTTTACGATAAAACTGTTTGTGTGTTTGTTACTTTTAGCAAAGCCACAATGGTCTATTTGTCGTGTCCACCGCGGGAAATCAAACCCAGGATTTTCACGTTGTAAGTCCGTAGACTTAGTGCTGTCCCACAGGGGGAAACGGAAAGAGAATACACTTTTGATAAGATTGAGAGGTATGGTGTTCACTACATGATTCTCAAGATGATTGATTTTAATGGACAGTGAGAGCCATCCCCATTTGTCACGTGAACGTTATAGATATGTTTATTATCGGAATTTTGTAAAAACCTCAAACCTTCCAAACAGTAATAAAATGTAACATTTATCAACGATATAGTATTTCTTTGAATTTTTGCCCTCCAGTAAGTCAGCGGTAAGTTTTCAAGATCAGGGAATTCATTCCTCCCGAAGAACAGAATGCAGATAGCCCTTATATGACAAACAAAATTTGAATTTTTTAAACAGTTAACAAAGGTAATGGGTGTTAAACTACAATGTTCATTGAAACTGTCAGAGTAATTAAATATAATACATAACTCAAACCTTTCACACTGTTATCAAAGGTAGCACTTGTCACACGTAACCGCATCATCAACAAGAAATGTTATGTAATTTTTATTTATAAGGCATGAGATAGAAAGAAATCATTGACAATTTATAGTTCAGTTTGGGATGAGATTTCAATTAAATACGAAATATGTTTTTATTTAAGAAATTTAATTAGCGACTACGAATACAGAGCGATTTGCGCTTCTGTTGGAAGGATTCTAAAAGGCCTTAATTATTCATTTTTCACGTGACTTATCACACAGTAGTATCATTTCTTTCATTATATTTTACATGCACGTGATGTTATGTTTTTTGCTCTTAGTTTTTAGGCTGGTTATTAACTTAGCACCGCAAAACGCTAAGTTACGGATCACTATATTAGCTTATCAACTTTGTAACAGCTGTGGCTAATGAGTTAGACGTACACATTTAGGATAAGAATATTATCTAGCATTTACACAAAGTAGAAGAAGGTTTCCGTAACTTTGCGTAATTACAGAAAATAAGTATTCTTTCTTTAAAGTATAAATTCTTTCTTACAAAAAACAATTAATGAATTGTGTCATCTTATTATAAGACTTTAGATAATATATTTTATAGTTTTAAAATATTAATTAGTATACCAGGAGCTCAGTTAATTTAGAGTTGTATAAATTTGTGAGAACAGCAATATTTTTTTAATATTTGTGTTTTTCCTTAGAACAAAAAAAATTTAATTAATATACTTTTTCCTATTTCAGTTGTCCCTCTCTGGGACAGCAGTAAGTCTAGAGACTTACGATGATAAAATCTGGGGTTCGATTCCTCACGGTGGACACAGCGGATAGTCCAATGTGACTTTGTTCTGAAAAACAAACAAACCACGTTCAGTTTGTTTGCTCATTGATGTTCAACGCATTAACTAATTATATTTTATCACAGTTAATAGAGATTTATCTGATAAAATCCATACATTCGATACATGTATGAACAACTGTAAAAAAAATGTCAACAAAAGCTGACACCATGATTTGAATTTTTTTTTAGTTGTGAATTACTGAGTTTGCAATAAAGAAGCAAATCAGTATAAGAGTTATGTTTAAAATATCCAAAACGTCCTCTCAGACCACACTACTTTCATGCAGGTTTTAGAGGACTTTTTTGAACATTTTAATTAAATATTAATTGTAAAAATAATAAAGAAATAATTTTATTGGTGAAAGATGTTGCTAACTTATATAGCTTGTTTTAACGCAAAACCACACAATAGGTTAGCTGCGCTCTGCCCAACGAGGGACAACTTAAACTTTAAAGTTTTTTTCACTATTTTCAAATATTTTTCAAATATTTGCAAATATAAAAATCAAATTGAATTCATATTTTAGCAAAGTTTTTAAACAAGCGGTCTCTAATCCTGATCATGAGGTATACATGTCTAGGCTGATAACTTTTAGAAACTTCAAATAAGCTACTTAACCTTTTTAAAGAAACTCCTTGATCGAAAACGTAACAAAATGTTCTGGTGAATATTATTTTACATATTTTGTAATTATACTGAATTAACAAATTTCCGAGTACGTATAGAAATCTAATAGAAAAAAGAAATGAATGCTGGACATTAAAACATTATTTCTGAGAAAAAGAATACGAGTAATATTTAATTCTTGAAATAACTTATGATAGGTAAACACTAACTTCGGTTCGTTTTGTTTCATAGGAAGATGGTGAGGAATTAATTTTGTTTTTGGATATTCAATCCACTCCCAACAGCTCAGATATAAGATAAAATTCAAGGTTATTCTACTAGTTGACAGGTAGCAATGGTTAAATAAATAATTATGTAGAAAGGAAAGAACTCACATGTTTAGAAAGTTAAACCTATTTGTTCTAGAGCAAAATAATGTATGTAAAGCACCGGGAAAACTTTGTTTTCTTTTCGTCGAAGGAGCTCAACAAGACTTTAGGGAATTGATGAATAAATAAAGAAAAGCTGATTTCACACGAGCTTTAGATCATTAACAAGAGTGCGAAGTTAGATCAGAAAAAAATGAAATAAAAAGGGGGATAACGTCGCAGAAACAGTGGTTCGTTTACAGAGAAATAGTTTGGGTTCGACTTCCGGCTGTAGACGCAGTCATTTCCGTGGTATTCTTCCAATCTGACCCAGTAGAGACCATCATCTTAACAATGCACTTGGCCATGAGCCATATAGAAGAATCTCTGAACTAAAAGTTTTTACATCTGATATTCTCTGAAGTGTTGATAGATTATACCTCATCACATGCAAACTACGTGACTATAACAACAGAATGTAAAGCTGAAATGAGAGCAGTTCACTCCTAATTGCTTTCAGAATGGAATAGTAAGTATTTCATGTGCTCATTTACAGCTTGTTTCAAAACCAAATATGGTATAACTTTTAAGCTAGGAGTAAAATCTGCAGTCTGAACTAAAGTGTTCATTTCGTACTCGAGTAAAGTGAAGCTAAGAATATAACACAAATACAACCAAATAATACGGTGAGGGAACATAAGTTCTTTAGAGGTAATTAGTTGGTGATGACACATAAAAGCTGATAAAGTTTTAGTGAATCAATTAAGAAAGAAGAAAATCTACACATAACGTTTCGCTCATAAACCTAGATTATAAGCTATATATATATAGTTAAAAAATAAACTTCATGAGTGTGGCTGAAAGCAACTGTCATTTTATTTTTGTAGCTTCATATATTTTTTTAATTATTATCAGTTACTAAATTTATATTTTCTGCTAATATTTGTTTATTTTATATCAAATCGATATTTGTTAATTTTATATTAAACGATGTCTAAGTGTTTTTTTCAAAATGAATTCTTCGAGTGAAAAATGTTTAGACCGAAATGTAAAACATCAGTAAGAAAACTATATCTTTAATTGCTACGAGTAAGTTAAATCATACATGTTATAAAAAAAACAGTACACTAGCTAACAGACATTGATCTAGATCGATTTTATTGTTGGTTCACTTTTCATTTTTTCTCTGTAGATAGCTGAAAACCTTGACATTTCCCGTACGTGTCTTTAATAGCAAAAGATTACGTCATTATTTACATGGTATAAACTTCCCAAAATATGAGCTGACAGGTGTTATCCAAACGCAAAAACACTATCTTCCTAGTCAGTAAATTTCACAAATGTATGAAATAAAAAATAAATGTTACAAAACAAAATATAAAAATGATAACCATTGAAATCATCAATGTTTAGATAGCTAGTTAGGCTTTAGTTAATTTGGTTTTGATACATCCTAAAGTATTTAAAACGTTTGGAAATTATCAGGCTAAAATTAAAGATTTTTTTTTGTATTTACCCTTACAAGCAGGAACATTTTATTTCGTTTGTTAAGTTCGTATGTGTTAACGTTGTTCTCCAGCGAATGGTATCAATCAATACATAAGAACAAAAATACAAAGCGATTAGATATATAAGACTGGAAATAACTTAATCCAGTTTCGATAGCCATCACCTGTAACGATAAGGACCTTAAAAGACGTTGAAACATCTGAAAAACATATGAAGATGTTGAATTAGAATAAGAAAAAATGCAACAGTCATAAAAAAGAGGGTTACAGACATACTGTCTGGTCCTCCTAAATTGCTCCTGTATATATAAAAGATGTACACCTGTTATTAAGATAGAAGCATTTAATAGCACAAGGGATAACACTAATAATACTTGATATAATAAACTTACTAAACACGTTTGTAATAGTGTGAAAAGAAGTTGGAATCATAAAACGATATTACCTTTCAACACGTATTTCTAATGCTAACAAATGAGTAATATAAAGGTTAGTTATTACGCTGTTAATTTCTCACTACTTTAAGAGACTTGGTTGGTTTTGTAATCAAGGTATAAATACATATGAATTTATTATTAGTAGTCAATCTGTATCTAGCATTGCGAATATATACAACTAGCATTGCGAATATATACAAGAATACAAATAGCAAGTTGTATTTAAATGTTCATCAATTAGTGTGCGGATCTTGACTATACTTGTAAGCGCATGCACTGTTGGATACCGGTGTAACGTGATTGTTCACAGATATATCAAGGGAGTTGCGCTTGATTTTCCCGCTTATTCTAAACTCATTATATGAATTCATCAGAATGTATAGTAACAATGTTAAAAATGAATAATGGTACTTTCATGCAGCTGTTTGACAACTCAAACTAAATTCCATTTCAACCTCACATCCCTGTGGGTCCCTTGGTGATTCTATTTGTTAGTCTCTAAACGGTTGTATTTGTCTAGGGAATCCGCTAGCAAAGAATAAGTTTAATATGCTCCTTGATAAAGATGCAAGACATCATAGTATTTGTGTGTGTGCCAGAATGAGATTAGTAAAATCATGAAAAACAAAAACGGCTGTTGTTGAACGTGCATATACATCAACATTTTTTTTTCACATGTTCATCTCGCTTATTTGTATACATTTCGACGATGTAAAAAATGGCATTTCAAATCAGTAAAACGTGATGCTGACTGTGCTAACATAATTTATGTGTATATTTTTAGGTATTGTTGCTGATGGTTGATCCAAGCTCAGGTAGATTGGAAGTGTTACGTATTGAGAATTTAAAATAGTCCGAAGTCGAGTTAACTGATTATTTAAATTTAGTAGTTAAATTGTACTTTGGATTTATTATTTAAATATATGCCGATATTTTAGTCAATTTACGATATTTACCAACAAGATTGATACACACCGTCTTCGTTTTTAAGACAAATACGTTTTAATATACGCACAACAATACAATCTATAGTAACAGTTATTACAAATAGTTACTACTAACAATGATTTATAAACAGAAGTTTCACAAACTTGCAAACAATATAGTCTGGAACCTCCTTGATATCTTATCGAAGGTTCACGATGAGCGAGTTAATTACGAGTTGATGTAGTTACGATCTGCTGGGAAGCTAGCTAGCTTTGTCCTTGGCCACACACACTGGGTTTTCCACGTCTTCGTAAAAATGACTAATGTCCGATGAGAAT